ATTTTTGTGCTTGAATTAGAACTGAGGAAAGATGGTCTGGTGGCTAGAGCACTAGCTTGGGACGGGGTGGGGGAGAGGCAGCAAGTCCCTGCTCTGCCACAGACTTACTCTCTGGACCTCAGTTCCCCCATCTGTGCAATAGGGATGACAGCCCTGCAAGGATAAATACATTAGATTGTGAGGTGCTCAGATACAATAGTGATATGTTCTTATCTGGCCTCCACGAAATGGGTCTGTGCAAATGGATTCTACAAACTGCCTTTGAAACCCCAGAAGTGTAATAGTGTGGCTGGCATCATCTGCCTTGCCAGGGAAAGATGGGATCAGATGCTAGAACAAGCTGAGGGGAGGGAAAACCTTGCTTTCCCCAGCCTGCGCCCGGGCAGACAGACAAGCTGGAAGAGCTGTTCCCTTCTACAGCTGACTCTGTGGGGGGCAAATAGACATGTTCACTTCCTGTAACTGTAGGCTGTCAGGGAATACAGAACAGGAGAGGCTTTTGTCTTGATTACGTTCCCAGCAAACGGAGGTGTTAATTGGACTCTGCTAATTAGAGTGGGCCTTTTCCTGGGGGGAGATACTGAGTCAACTCCAGTGTCTTCCTGCAAAGTCCTGTGGTAATCCTAATAATTCATTCTTAGAGCACTTTACAAACAGGAACAGATCCCCATCGTACCATGTGCAGTTAAGTGACTTGTCCAGGCCAGTACAGTGGGTCTCTGGCAGAGCCAAGATAAGACCTTGGGTGCTCCTGGCCCACTGAGCCATTCTGCTGCCTTCCTGTGTAGAGCATGCACTGGTGTTGCTATGCTTGTGTCTCAGGCTCTCATACAAGAGCAGGTTAAACAACCACCTAGGCCCTGCAAACTTCCCCTTTTAGCAAACACCCTGAATGTGCCAAATCACTTCCAGGATCCTCTCCTACCCGCCCAGTTCTCCCCTCACCTATCTTCAAACAGTGCTGCTGCTGTTGTGCTGTCCCAGTGCAGCCGGGATAAGTCCAGAGGCAGATGACAGTCCAGTGCAATTGTTCCAGGTTGCAAGCAGCTGTCCCCACAACAGAGGCTGAAATCTCCATAGTCTGTTCATGGTGCTTATCCCATCAGACTTCTCTTGCCATCTGCTGCTGAGTGCTGTGCTGTGCTGCTTGGAGCTATTAGTCTGCTCCCATCTTTTGGACGCTCAGGCAAACAGAACAATGTCGAAAATGGCAGGATATGTTGGGTTAGGTCAAAATCATTGGGAAGCTGGACTGGTACAAACACACAACACAGGCCATTCTGAGTTGTTCCAATTTACCATCATGCTTTTGACTCTCCAGTAAAGCATTTGAGTTCATCACCCTGTCTGATGTGATCATCTGCCTAGGTCTTTCTAGTCTACCTCGTCTGTAGAGGCTGAGCCTGCATCTTAACAACGTTGAGTTAAAATACCTTGCTCAACTGAGTGAGGTTATGTGCCAACATCCTTCTCCACTCCCAACTTCACCCCCTCCATCAGCCTGGGGATGCAGCTGAGTCACTCCTGGGTCAGCTCAGTACCAGTGTGGCGGGTGAGAGGAGGGGGCTGCAGCTGGGGTGCTGAGTGTACAATCCTGTGTCTGGTGGAAGGTTGCCCAAGCTGCTGAGATGTTTGGTGCATGATGCTGTGAAGTGCTTCAGAGAGGTGCAGCATTGATGGCTCCACTACAGCAGCTGGCCCAGAAGTGTAGCAGTGATTAAACTTGAGGGGCAGGACATCAGCTCAGTAGGCTCTCTGCAGATGCAGCTATTGCTCAACTGTTCGGCTGAAGTGAGGCCAGGAAACCGCTACATTTTGTAATAAAACACGTTTGTACCGCTGGCAGGGAGACAAATGCTCCAGTGACATGAGCAGAGGTCTCCTGAGAACTTACCCGTGTGCACTTTTCTTGGTCTTGCTTGTCACAGAGTGCAGCCCTGACCAGCTGGGCCCCTCATTCAGCACTGCTAGAAAATGCCATATGCAAAGCCCTTCACAATGCTCTGATTATGGGTCTGACCCACTGACAGTGTTTGGGCAGGGAATGTTCCCTTTCCATTTATTTGTATTTCCAAATCAAACTGCTTCTGATTCTGGACCCTGCTGGAGTTCCTCCGTGGAGACCAGTGACTGTTTTTAGTCTGTTTCCCCATTGGCTGACAATTGCGGAAATGGATACCACGAAACTTAGTTTTCTTTCTGGAAACAGGCTAGAGGGATTTCCTTAAAAGGCACTGCCCCAAAAGTGTGCCACTGCCCTGTCTGTTTCACTCATTCGCCATTCATGGTGAGAGGACAGTTTTACAACAAGTGAAAGTAGCATTAGTAAAGCAGGGTAAGAAATTTTCTGAACTTTTGGGTGCCTGTCATTTCTAAAGCAGTCATACGAAGGATGGTGTCAGGAACATTTTGCAAATTGCTGCTGCACTGTTCCTTTAGGACACTGCCCCAGAATAGGCTTTGTTTGGAAGTTAGCTGCAGAGCTTCTGAGATTCTAATAGCGGGCAGTAGGACATGCTGGATGGAGGTGACCTGCAGGGGACTGCTTGTCGGGGAGCAAGGCTTTAAGCCAAGCCTTTAGGAAGCGGGGGTGAGTTCTTATACTGCTTCCTCCCAGGAATGTCCTGTAGCAGGAACAACCCCACCCTGTATTCCTTATCCCGTGCACAGTCATGGTCCCTACCCCACAACAGAGGACTGAGGGAGCTTTGAACTTGTCCCTCCTAAGAGTGCTGATTTGAGCATACACTACAGAAGATGCCAAATACATTGGTTCATATTCTCGACTGGGGAGATCGGTCTCTGTGCCCAGTTTCATAGATTCATAGATATTAAGGTCGGAAGGGACCATTATGATCATCTAGTCTGACCTCCTGCACAATGCAGGCCACAGAATCTCACCCACCCAGTCTCATTCCCAGTTCATTAAGTGATGTACACCCTGCAAAGCACTTTTACCGTTAAAGTCTCTGGAAAGCAGGATGCTTCCCCAAATCTGTCTGGATGAGTCTCTCACCATGGTGGGCGATGCTTTGAAAAGCCAGGGAAACCCATGCTGCCAGCTGCCTTAGTGCTGCTCTCTGGACCAAGACTCCATCTCAGTCTGTGGCCTGACTGAGGTCCATCAGTGACACCTGGCACTTAAATCATCCTTTGTCTTCAAAGGGCTTTGCAAACATTGACCATTCCCTCCCACCCCTGTGAGGGAGCTGGTACTATCCCAGTTTACTCAGGGGATGTGCCTAGGACCACACAGCAGTCAGTATCGAGCTGGCATTAGAATTAAGGCCTTCCTTGTTCTCAGTGTCTGACCCAAACAGCTCTGCTGCATCAGGTTCATTAAACCTGGTGCAGCACATGATCTGTGCCTGAAGTACATCAGAGAGCTGCTGCTTCACTGCTGCTTTCACACATCCAGTAGCCTTTCTACAGGGGCTTCTTTCTGCTTCCATGCCCCAGCTCAGCCAGATGCTTTAGGATTGGACCCAGTGTTTTTAATCCTCCCTAGCACCAAGTGCAGCATTTGGGCACTTTCCTCCCCCTTGAATATTCTGGAACGTGCCTTGGCCTTTCCTGTGCAGTCTCAGCAGTGCCACTCTGGATCCTACAGAGCTCATCTACACACCCAGCACCTCTGTAATTCTACCAGTATAGTTCCAGCAGCAAATCCCCCTAGTGTGGAGGCAGTTAGACTGGTATTCAGGTCTTTGTACCAGTATAGCCTGCTCCTGTACAGGAAGGGAAATAAGAGATATCAGTGTAAGGCATCTTTACACCTGTGAGTAACTGCATCCTCACTAGGGATATATCGGTATAAAAACATCAGTAAAAACTCATCTTCCCAACTGACAGTTAAGCCGAGACACAAGCTGCGTATAGACCAGGCCTAAGTATAAGCAAATACTGATCTCAGATGCCACAGCATGGAAACCTAGTGAAAAGTGTGCCCTGTACATCACCCTGCTCTCTTGTGCCATGGAAAATGACTGCTCCTGTCAAAGCCCTGGCCTTGGGTACAGCATGAGAGGGCTCATCTCAGTGCTTTTCTCGCTGTCCCTGAGGCGATGGTTACAGCGCTGTCAGCTGCTGCCACAGACCAGCAGATGTAGCATCCCCTGTATTTGGATAAACAGCAGTAATATTTACTAAACTCTCTGGAACTGGTTGGACAAAGGAGAGTTCAGATGGATTCCAGCTAAACCGGTTTTCTTGCTCAATTATTGAAACAAGAAACTGGTTCTGGCTGGTCTGCTCCCACTGCACCTTTCAGTGTGATAGTGTCTCAGCAGTGATATCGACCTGGGGCAGGAGTCTGTAAAATGAGGGGTTTAATTCAGGGTCTAGGAAGCATTGTAAATCTGTGTGGCCCAGAGTGGAATGATGCTACTGGGAATGGATTTTGAGGGGGCTTTGTAAGAAGTGTAGAGGCAGGGTGGTCTTGGAGTGAAGGTGCTGTGCTGGACTTCTGGATTCTGGTCTGGATGCTGCTGTACACTAGCTGGCTGAATGAGGGCAAGTCATTTAAACCCATGCTTTCAAACATGGCCACTGGTTAGGGACCTAATAGAGATACTGGTGTGTTCTGTTTTGTTTTTTAAGATGCTTAGTCTCCACCCTTCCTCACTGAAGGTGTTGAGTACCTCAGATGAGACCCTGGGTGCATCAGGTCAATCTCCTGTATCGAGTACCCTCATTTGCCGATGTGGGCGTCTGTCTCAGCATCTTCCCCTGTTCAGTGAGGAGACCTGAGAGGCAGAGGGTCTCGGGTTTGTAGAGTGCTACGAGTGAGAGCACCTTTCACGTGAGGATATCACAGAATGGTGTGTTCTGAATTGTATATCAGGCACAGAAAGCAAATGCCGTGTGACACAAATCAGAGGCCAAAACTAACTGGCAAGTCTGGCAGAGACCTCAGCCATTGGCCATGCATTCTCATGCTGCCCAATATTTGCACGGACCTGACTGCAACCCTTCTGAACTCTCCTCCTGTTTCCCCACAGTGTACATTGTGGAAGAGCAGAGAAGGGACAACACAGGGGAGAGTGCCTGCCTGACAGCGTGTTGGACTGCTCTGTGCTGCTGCTGCCTCTGGGACATGCTGACTTGAGTTCCACAGGAAGTCACCACAGTCAATACCTCTAACTCGGAGTGCTATGCATTCTTCTGTGATCTCTCTTGTTCTGATGTCTTTCTATCCATGTAATCAATGATCCGCTTTGCCCAGCCAACAGTCCATGTCTGATGTAGCTCTAGCGCCATGGTGGTGTTTGCACTCCTTTAATTTAGTGAAGGGAAATCCCTTCATAATGTATGTCTAAGATTTTTGTTGTATTTTAAAGAATGTGCTAAATGATTTTTTTATTATTATTTTTCGGCCAAAGGCTTCATTATTACTCAATGTGTGTTTATCATTTTAAATTTTATCTTTCTTGGAAATGGAGAAATATGCAATAATTAAAGTCAATAACTGATTTTTCTTTGCTAGTTCCCACTTCTGTTTCAATAAATTTGTCAGATACAGATCAGTTGTGTGTCAGGTATGTGGTATGTTGCTTTAGTTTTGTTCCCCTGGACACCTTGCACCTACTCTGAAAATACAACATAGCAGTGACGGAGCTCCCTGCTTAACTGGCCCCCAAGAGCCTCACGGGAGTTTGTGTTGTGGGAACTAATAATTGTCTCCCCTGCTGCAGTACAGAAATCCTGGGGGGTGGGTGTGTGTGTGTGTGTGTGTGATGAGCTAAGAGACAATTACTGTGGCACCAGTGCCCATTTTCCATCAACAATACTGCTGTTATGTAAGTAGTAACAGCACAGTGGAATCAGTCTTTAAATGACCACTTAGAGGACTCATGCCAACTGTTTCCAGAGAAGGTGGAGGGGAGGTTAGCAAAGGGAGCTGGGAGATGCTTTGAGGTGGTCTCCAGACAGAAGGTTGCCTAACAGGACAACTTAACTATTTCATTGACATTTGGCCTTTTTGCGGTAGGTTGGGATGGAGACATCTCGCTCCTCAGGTGCCATATTGCAACAGCCACCACCACAACTGACTCCGATTCAGCCCCACTGTTGGTAGGCTCAGCAGAGCAGCTGGATGGGCCCTGAAGGCAGCTGAACTCCCCCTAGTGTCACTCTAAGGCTGGGTGAGGCTTGTGAGCAGTCAGCGTGAAGGGAGCTTGTGATAGGTCTGCCCTAGGACCAGCCTTTCAATCTCTGGGGCATGCCCAGCTGTGTTTTTTGTCCAGCACTAAATTCATCCAACGAATGTTAAAATTGCTGCTGTATTTCTCCAGTGTGGGAGACACTAGGTATTAAATTACCAGCAAAAAGAGCATTATCCAGCAGCACTACAAAGCTCAACCTAAAGATGCTGCAGCCTCTTTCGGACAGCTGGTTCTCTGCCCAATATCCTCCGTTCCTCGTAAGTAGAACTGAGTCAAATTCCTGAGAGTATTGTGTGGTAACCCCCTTATCAGCAAGTTAATGATGAGGCCAAAGTGGCAGACTTATAGAGGGCAGACAAATCTGTATTTTCAATCTTCCTGCTTCAGTCCCCTTGGACAGGACTCCCCGGCTGCTTGCCTCTTGCCAATCTAGCCATATCAACTCCTTGCAGCAAGAACGGTCTCTTAGGGTATGTCTACGCTGCAATTAAAAGCCTGCGGCTGGCCCTGTTTAATTGCAGTATAGCTGTTGAGCCTCAGACTGGAGCCCAGGCTCCAGGACCCTGGGGTGTGGTAGATCCCAGAGCTCAGGCTGTCTGACCATCTACACCACAATTAAACAGTCCCTAAGCTTGAGCCCCGCAGATGTAGTGCAGTGTGGACAGACCATCGTTCCATGTTTGCTCGGAGCCTAGTGCAATCAAGTTTTACTCCATGAGTAGGCTCCAAGATGGTCCAATAATACACACAGTGAATGTTTAAAGAAGCCATCACATGCAGGGACTAAAGATCGTCTCAGAATATGGTAACCAAACTCACTGCTATTATACTTCCCAGTGTGTTGGATCACCTTCATTAGCAGCAGTAGCAATGAAATCAAGTAAACTCCCTTGAGATGTGTAGAGCCTGGATTTGGCCCCAGTGAGCATCCTAGCTTATCACAAACCTTGAGACAATGTTCAGGAGACAAGATTTTTAAATTTTCCTCTTCTCAGGGCGACATTGGCTGGGGCAGAGAACCAGGCTGGGGCTTAATAGCCCAGGAGGGTTTATTGCCTAAGCCTGATTTTAGTGTTTGGAATTTCAGTTCTGCTTGCAAGAAGGCCAAGTGAAATTCTCTTCTTTCAGAAAAACAAAAAACTGTATCAGCTCAAACATGCCAAAGCCCTGGATCAGTGCCATGCCGAGGAAAATAAATGGTTTCAAAGGCCTGTGCTTCCTCAGTTTAAAGCTGTCCTGACTCTGTTTACCATTAAAGCAAAACATTTCCCAGTACAGATTTCATGGTCTTAATTTGCAATGAACTAACAAGTTCAGGGTTTGAGTGCAAAGTTGCAGACACTATATTGTTGTCATCCACATTTAACACATGAAAAACTTTTAAAGTGATGCTTCCTTCGACTGCTGTGTCACAGGAAATGGCTTTTGCGGTCTTCCTTTGTATTAGAGGCTTGGTTACCATTTCAAGCCTGCAGTTAGGTCTACGTGGGCCTGATAGTATGATTGGGGCCTGAATGGAGCAGAGGTGCGTCTCCAAGAACAATCTCCTGCATTGCCTCTCTTTAAATCCTCATTTGAGGACTTCAGTAACTCAGCCAGGGGTTCATTGGGGGGGGGGAGTGAGGGTCTGTGGCCTGTGATGTGCAGGAGGTCAAACTAGATCATGATTAGGGCCCTACCTACCAAATTCACGGCCATGAAAAATGTGTCACAGACTGTGAAATCGGGCCTTTTGCATGCTTTTACCCTACACTGTACAGATTTTAGTGGGGAGACCAGCATTTCTCAAACTGGGGGTCCTGACCCAAAAAAGGAGTTGCAAGGGGCTTGCAGCATTGCCACCCTTACTTTTGCACTGCCTTCAAAGCTGGCTGGCCAGAGAGTGGGGGCTGCTGACTGAGGGCCCAGCTCTGCAGGCAGCAAAAGAGAAGTAAGGGTGGCAATGCCATATCATGCGCTGCTGCTGGCAGCAAGTCTGCCTTCAGGGTTAGGCTCCCAGCCAGGAGCCGCTGCTCTCCAGCTGCCCAGCTCTGAAGGCAGCACCACCACCAGCAGCTGTGCAGTAAGGGTAGCAGTACTGCAAACCTCCACCCCTCCAATCACCTTGCGATCCCCCTCCCCCCCAGCTCCTTTTTGGGTCAGGACCCCTACACTTACCCCACTGTGACACTTCAGATTTAAATAGCTGAAATCATGAAATTTATGATTTTTTTGAATCCTATGGCTGTGAAATTGACCAAAATGAACAGTGAATTTGGTAGGGCTCGAATCATGATGGTCTGTCTGGCCTTGAAGTCTATGAACAACATTTTTAAAGCTAAAGCAGATTCAGGAACTTGCTGAGGGGAGGCTGTGATCACAGCTGTGCTGAAACTTCATTTTTGTTTGAGCCCAGCACGCAGTCCCCTGGATTTATACTGAGTGCTCACTGTATTTGGGCAACTTGGGTGCAGTGAGCCAGGCCCCAGCAAGCTGTCTGGGTCACAGAAATTGCACTGCAGCCAGTGAGGTTTGCAGCAGAATGCAGTGGGGGAGGGGCTGTTTCTGGGCCCTGGGGCTTACAGCTGGGTCTTGGAATTGGACGGATTTTTAAACCTCTCCTTAACCACTGAAACAGATGGCACAAAGTCCAGCGCTGTGCCCAGGAGGCCACACAGACTTCCTGTTTGGCAGCCTGCCCTCCCTGGGCGTGCAGTCAGTGCCGCTGTGTTCTCCACAACCTGGTGTGAAGCCTGAATGAGAAATAAGGGAGGAAGTCGGGTGGGCAGCGGTTCGCTTTGGCATGTTGACTCCCAGCAGGGATGGCACTTGGAGTTGTCCCAGCCCCAGGTAGCGAAGCCCCTTTTGGCCAGTCTGATGGAGCTGCTCTTTGAGAGGTGCAGGTTTGGTTTCCATTCTAGGGTTAATCCTGGGGGAGTTCCTCACCCAAAAATTAAAAATTCTGTGTACAATATTTTAATAGTCTGAAAAATGCATATTTTATTTTTCAAAATAACAGTATACAATCATGCCAGTTTCTGTTGTTTTGGTAATTTATTTCAAAATACCTATCAGCAACTATGTAAATACAGACATACACAAAATTCCTCCAGGAGTAGAGAGTTAAGGAAACCCCTATGACAACCCAGTTTCTGCTTCTCTGCCCCCTCCCTCCAGAGCCCAGTAGGGCGACCAGACACCCACACCCCATTCCCCCAGAGCCCAGCTGTGGGTCCCTCCCTGCCCAGACACTCACACCCCCTCCCACCTCAGAGCCCAGGGATCCCGAGGAAGAAACTACCTGATGCTGGTCCCAGGCCTGCGCCACCCCCTTCCTTCAAGGCATGCTGGGAACTGCAGCTGCTGGGAAGCCCCCGCTCCCTCCCCCTTCCCTTGGCACGGTCTTCTACTTGCGAGCTGGGCTCTGCTGGGGTTCAGTGGCCCCTAGTAGCGGCCAGCAGCTCTGCAGCCCATTTCCATGGAGGAAAAGGAAATTCTGCACAAAAGACTAATTTCTGCATAAATTCTGCATGTGCAGTGGTGCAGAATTCCCCCAGGAGTATAGGGTGCTCACAGATTGGGCCGTAGGGAGAGGGGACTATGCCATGGGAGCAGCCGGGGGGAACCCTACAGCACAGAATTAGTCACTGGAGCCATGGGCCAGACTCTGGCTGAAGGGGCTCACCATGCACCCACAACGTCCTCACTGCAAGGCTGAGCCCTCTGTCCTGGGGGCTCCCCATCCTGGGGCAGTCAGTTCATTCAGACAGCTTTTTTCAGACTGGATGAGATGTTGTGTTTCCCCCCATGGTTCTCCCCTTACTCCCAGCTGGATTTCCTGGGAGAGAATAGTGCAGGCACTGGGGCCTCTCACTCAACTGCTGCATTACAGCTGAGCAAATAATTAGCTGGTTTGGTGGTTGAACTTGGTGGGAAGAACACGGCTTGTTTCAAATCCACATGGAATTTTTCCAGGTCCCAGGAACTCCAGGAAATGCTCTTTGGGTGGAATGGTGCAGTTTGACTGTTGATTTGAAATGGTATTTTCTGACTAAAATTTTTACATGTAGCTTTGAAAAAATTTTGACATTTCCAAAAAAAATTCAGCTTTTTCAGGCTGAACTTATTTGCTGAATCTGAGCTAAATGCAGGGATAGTTTTGGGGGCCCCCCAAATGCCTTTTTCAGTGAATTTACCATTCACTGAAAAAAGAAATTCTCCCAGCTCTATTTTGGAGTCAGTGTTCTCAGCTAGCAGTGCCCCAGTGGGCTGCCCTGCCTTCCTCACACTGCTCAGAAAAACCAGTCGTCATCCTCAAAGGGGGAAGGGGAAAAGCCTCATCCACCCACTCCGGCATTTGGGTGGAGGCTGGTACCTGGCTG